CGCCCCCCCCCCCCCCCCCAATTCCAAAAAAAAAAAAAAACCTTTGGTGGGAAAACACAAAAAAGATTAAATTAATAAATATTGGTAATTATTTCCCATTTTCTTGCCTAGGTTGTTTAACAATTCCTTTTTTACATTCAGTTTATTATTGAGATTGTTGTCATTTAACAGCTAATGTTTTGTTTCCATCATTCAGAGTCGCACAGATCGAATTGTTTTTAAGCTCTTCGGTAAAGAGCCAAATGATTTTCCTCTTGTACTCAGAGCACAGGTACTTTAAGCTTTCTAAAGCTGCTGAGAGTGACTGCTATTCATTTCATTCTTTTGAAATTTAATAACACTGGAGGGTTTCAATTTCCAGATTCTTGACTGGTTATCCCACAGTCCTACTGATATGGAGAGCTACATACGTCCTGGTTGTATTGTTTTGACCATTTATCTGCGTCAGGCTGAGGCTTTGTGGGAGGAAGTAAGCATTTTCCTTATAAAACTATTTACATGTAGTTATTTCTTTTAACAGGGGACACCCTTGACCTTACATGTTCCCCCCCCTTTTTTTCAGCTTTGCTATGATCTGACTTCAAGTTTGAGTAGGCTGCTGGATGTCTCAGATGATACTTTTTGGAGAAATGGATGGGTTCACATCAGGGTGCAGCATCAGATGGCCTTCATTTTTAATGGTCTCTTGCCATGTCTTTCTTGTTGTTTGGGGGCAAGATAACTTTAGTCAGAAAATTATTTCAGTATTAATTAAGTTCATTATATGCTTAAAAATTGGAAATCCTTGCCGTGACAAGTCATCTATGTAAAAGATTTGTATATACATCTAATTTGTGTCTTGGCCTCAGTTGTCATTGTTGTTATGTTAATGTGGTTTATGTATGAAATAATTATATCTTATAACTAACAGTATTTATTTACATGACTAGTTACCTTACCATAATTTTTTTGCGGCAGGTCAAGTTGTCATAGATACCTCCTTACCTTTCAGAAGTCACAGTTATAGCAAGATTTTGACTGTTAGTCCAATTGCTGTACCAGCATCAAAGAAAGCTCAATTTTCTGTTAAGGGTGTCAACCTGATACGCCCTGCTACTAGGTAATCTCTATTGCTTTGTGGCTTGTCGACCCTTTGCATAATTTGTAGTTAAAATACTTGGTAATTTTTTGTTGAACCCGTGTGTGATATGACCCTTAAACCTACCCTCAGGTTAATGTGTGCTTTAGAAGGGAAATATCTGCCCTGTGAAGATGCTGATGTGCCAATGGATCAATACTCCAAAGAGTCTGATGAACTTCAGTGCATCCAGTTTTCATGTTCTGTCCCTGTGATGAATGGAAGAGGATTTATTGAGGTGCTTTTTCTTCACTCTCCCACATTATCATTATCAACAGAAAAAAGTAGAGATGGACTGGCTAGTTTTTTCATGAAGACATTTAGAAAAAAGTAGAGGTGTTTTTTCTGTTATGGCACTCAGTCACACACACTGATTACTGTTGAGTGTTAGTGATGTCCTAACTCATAATTTGTGATCTGATTATTGTAGAATATTGACACTAGCATGCATCCATTAACTAGTGTGCGTGCCACACTGGCATATTTTATTTTTTTTTGCTGAAGATAAGCAATGCTGTGGTAATGCTATATGGCTGAATTTTATTTTTTCTACATTTTTTTTCTTGATTTGCTAGATTGAGGACCAGGGTTTGAGTAGCAGCTTTTTTCCTTTCATTGTTGTGGAGGAGGATGTTTGCTCAGAAATCTGTGCACTTGAGCCTCTTCTAGAATTAAGTGAAACTGATCCGAATATTGAAGGGACTGGAAAAATTAAAGCCAAAAATCAAGCCATGGATTTTATTCATGAAATGGGCTGGCTTCTTCACAGAAGTCAAATGAAATTAAGGATGGTTCAGTTGAACTCTAGTGTGGATCTCTTTTCATTGAAACGGTTCAAGTGGCTAATTGAGTTTTCCATTGATCATGATTGGTGTGCAGTAGTGAAAAAACTGTTGAATCTACTTCTTGATGGAACTGTAAATACAGGAGATCATCCTTCCCTGTATATTGCACTTTCAGAGATGGGTCTCCTTCACAAAGCTGTAAGGAGAAATAGCAAGCAATTAGTGGAGTTGCTTTTGAGATATGTTCCTGAGAATATTTCTTATGAACTAGGACCTGAAGGCAAGGCATTAATTGATGGAGATAATCAGACCTTTTTGTTTAGACCTGATGTTGTTGGTCCTGCCGGTTTGACACCACTCCATATAGCAGCTGGGAAAGATGATTCTGAGGATGTACTCGATGCTTTAACTAATGATCCCTGCACGGTAAAATTTCTGTACTTTATTTTATATCACTGCTAGTATAGATTTCTTTAAATATGCTGCAGATTTTCTTCCTACATTTTATATTCAAATTCTGCATTTAGTTTTTACAGTATTTGAAATATTGTCTGACACTGTTGCATACTGCCTTTTTAATATTTAATTGGGTGTTATTAACTGTGATCTCTGGGGACCAACAATCTTATAGCATCTTGACCTATCAAACTACTCTTGCCACTAGTATTGTCCGACTTTGAATTAGGTGAAACCTAGATAGAAAGTGATAATCATTTATCTTTATGTCTTGTTGGAAATCTGGAGCTTCACGTGTTCAGGTTAGTGCTACATTAGTAACATGGAGTTTTAAATACAGGTGGGAATTGCAGCATGGAAAAATGCTCGTGATAGCACAGGTTCCACACCAGAGGATTATGCACGTTTACGTGGCCATTATGGTTACATTCACTTGGTGCAGAAAAAAATTAACAAGAGACAAGGAGCAACTCATGTGGTGGTTGAGATTCCAAGCAATACGACAGAGAACAATACAAACCAGAAGCAAAATGAGTCATCCACTAGCTTTGAGATTGGAAAGGCTGAAGTAAGGCTTAGCCAACGGCACTGTAAAGTTTGTGACACTAAATCTTCTTGTAGAACTGCAGTAGGCAGGTCTTTGGTATACAGACCTGCAATGCTCTCAATGGTGGCCATAGCCGCAGTCTGTGTCTGTGTAGCCCTTCTGTTTAAAAGCTCACCGGAAGTTATATGTATGTTCCGACCCTTCAGGTGGGAAACCTTGGACTTTGGAACAAGCTAAGGTTCATTAACTTGCAACCCAATAAAACTTGATAGGTAATGTAAGGATGCGTTCATAGACTGAATGTAGGACTGCTTCTTTGTATTAGCTAAACTGTGCAATATTATTTACGTATTTATTATCTATCCTTAAATGACCGTCCTTGTACAATGTATGTAGATGCAACTCTACTTCAAACCTTATTTGGTACAATCCTTTATATTTTAGTGCAACACTTGTATGGAATATTACAGTATTGTCTTTTGATTAAATGACGAGTTCGTTTAAATCGTAATTAAACTGAAATATCCGATGTTACTTTTGTAGCATGTTTGTATTTGTTTAAATTATACGAAAAAGATTCTTTCTTCCACAAAAATGTCCTAAAATGATTTTAATTATAAGTTATTTCGAATAACAATATTTGATCATAAGGGAATGCAAATATGAAAGTTGGGATAGTATGGATGAAGTTTTAGGCTTGAATCTTTGTACAAAAAAAATGGTGTGATTATTTTATTAAAAAATGGGTTCAGGTTATATCAATTATAATTTATAAGGAAAGCCAGGGGGGGAAATCTTCTGCTTACATACATAAAAACCACAAAAATAATGTCTTTCAAGATTCGGTTATATTGCATAACATGGTATATAGCACACTAATTTGACTAGGTTTTTCTGTGCAGCAAAATGGGCCAGTTGTACTGTTCTCTATCGTTGAGCTTGATAAATTTCGACTTATTACAGAACATATCTTTTAAGTGGAAGCAGTTATAGTCGGACGCTTCAAAATATTGGATTAAGTTGGTGTTTATAATGAAAACTTTGGGTATGTTGCTCAGTCATGGGGACAATTTCGGTATGAATTTAATCGGGGGACCAAATAAACTTGTTGAGATTTTATATGTCCAATTAATCATACCACTGTATATATAAGCAAGATTTTGATGAATAATGCTTTGAAAATTGGGGAAAAGTGCCAATCTTTGTTTACTTTTTGTTTCATAATTTTTTGAATCTGGTTTTTCTTTTAAATAAGCTAGCAACAATGGCTCGTAAAAGTTATACAATTTTCAAAATGCAACATACAACACTACTACTGAAATGATTGTACAGCTTTTAAAAGACAATTTGCTTCTCTAATGCTCTTTAATTGGAGAAAAAAATGCATTAAGACAGACACTAGAGCCGTGTTTAACATTAGTTTGGCATTTGCAATTTGAGGCTGGATGGGTATATGATTGGTTTCTTTCAAAATCTTCAAATTATTTTAATGAAATTACAATCAGATGCATTCGGAAGTTTTCAATTCATTTCGCCTTGGTTTAGAAGGAAATGATGCTAATTTCTGTTTTTCATTTATTTATTTATTTTTGTTTAGGTGTTGGTGGAGTGGGGTTGGACACTAACGGGAAAAAGATGAATGCGAGGAATCAATCAATTGCATAGAAGGATCTTGCTTTTATAAAAATTATTGCATTCCTTTAATCCCCGGACAAGCAGATTTTGACTAAAGTTAATCTTCAAATTGAAAGTACTTTTTATTGTGTAAATATATTTATTTAAATAAATGTATATGTAAACATAAAAAACAATTTCTCGATATAAAAATTCATGTGTAACAAAACACTTTATTTCCAATGGGTAAAAAATTACACCCTCCAATAGCAAACATTCAAGCAAGGGGTACAGTAAATTTTAATCCAAATTCTACTGCATGATTAAAATTCTCTCACTCATCAAACAACCACAACCTTAAGCTTGAGGCTTCTCCCACTTGAGTGGCTTCACAACTTCCCAGGTGAAGTCAGGGTCCTCCCTTCCAAAGTGTCCATAGGCAGCTGTCTTGAGGAACCTATGACCACCCCTCTTAAGGTCCAAGTTAATGGTGATCATTCCAGGTCTAAAGTCAAAATTCTCCTTCACAAGTTGGAGAATTTCTCTGTCATGGATCTTTCCAGTTCCGTAAGTGTCAATAAAGACAGACAAAGGCTCAGGAACACCAATGGCATAAGAAACCTGAACAATGCACCTGCGGGCAAGTCCACTTGCTACAATACTCTTTGCTGCCTGCCTCGCAACATAGGCACCACTTCTATCAACCTTAGTAGGGTCTTTCCCTGAGAAGGCACCACCTCCATGTGCACCCCAACCACCATAAGTATCAATGATAATCTTCCTCCCAGTGAGACCAGCATCACCATGAGGACCACCAATGACAAATCTCCCAGAAGGGTTAAGGTGGAAGATGGTCTTGTTATCCAAGTACTTCTCAGGAATCACAGGCTTGATAACATGCTCCTTAAGATCCGCAGCAATTTTTTCATTAGTCACAGTCTCATCATGCTGAGTGGAAATGAGGACAGTGTGGACACGAACTGGAACCATGGCACCATTCTCATTGTAATACTCTACAGTCACTTGTGTCTTACCATCTGGTCTCAACCAAGCGCATGTCCCATTCTTTCTAACCTCAGTAAGGCGAGCTCCTAGTTTTGTTGCAAGGACATGGCTCAGTGGCATGTATTCAGGGGTTTCATCAGTGGCGTAACCAAACATGTGACCCTGGTCACCTGCACCAATCTCCTCTGGGTTCTTGGTGAAGTGCCCATGCACACCTTGGGCAATGTCAGGGCTTTGTTGCTCAATGTTGACCAACACCTTGCACTTGTCTGCATCAAGGCCCACATCGTCGGAGACAAATCCAATGTTGCGGCACGTGTTGCGGACAATTTTCTCGTAGTCTACGTTGGCCTTGGTTGTGATCTCTCCAAAGACCATGACCATGTTAGTCTTGGTGCATGTCTCGCAGGCAACCTTGCTGTCAGGATCCTGTTCAAGGCAGGCATCAAGCACTGCGTCAGAGATCTGGTCGCACAGCTTGTCAGGGTGACCCTCGTTGACGGATTCAGAGGTAAATAGAAATGTCTCTGTCGCCATTTCTCAAGCTACACAAAAATGGAAAACAAAATGTTTAGTCTAACATTGCTCATAAGCTTGAAAGTCAAAACATCCGGAAAAGCAAATTGAGGGGAGATCCTGAAATGAACTACTCCTAGAAGAACATTTTTGTTAGAGATCCAGAGGACATTACGCTAAGAAGTTCAATTAAGAGCAAAATTGAACTTATCATTTATCTAAAGCAGTTTTACGTAATCCACTACACAATTGGTCAAGTTAAGAAAATTGTAAAGGAAAGCTTGGATAAAATTTTCTATAAACACTTTATAAAAAAAATTTAAAAATTAAAAGAAGTTTAATTAAGTTAGTTAAATATAGCGTTTGGATAAGTTAAAAATAAGATATAAGAGAAGTTAATAAAAAAGAACTTTTAACTATGAATAAGTTAATTGAGAAATTTACTCAAACGATCTCCAACTTGAGGAAGTAATATTTCTTTTTGGTACATAATAAGGTGGTTCTATTTCTGCATCCTTATGCGTGTGACTAACTAAAAATGATAACAAAGAACGGCATAATACTTCAAACATTCAATGTGATTAAAGTCTCTTGCAAGCTAGGTGGTTTGCATCGAGGATTATTACACATATACACATGTCTTCGTATCAGTAAGATATTATCTGTTTAGGACCTAACTTTCACGATTTTGCTTTTAGATACCACTCAAAGACCTTTTTACTGATGGAGACAATATAAACATATGTTCATCTCCTTATTTGAATGATGTGTGACTTTATTTACGTCCAGGCAAACCAGTGGATATAATGCTCAAAAGTTAAATTAAAACAATAAATAACGTAAATCAGCAGCAACAGATCTAGAGAGAGAAAAAATTCAAATTTAGAAACGGACTATTCCTAGAACAACATTTGATTTACTAGAATAAAAGAAAAACTGAAACGAACACCAGTTTTTGAATCGAGGTTTCAGCTTCCAAACCTCAACATATCTTTAAGATTCCGTGAACCTTGAACAGTCACACAAAGTTAACCAGCATGGAGCAATCCCGAAAAAACATAAAAGGAAAATAAAAATTGAGATCTGTAACTGTAACAACAAAACATGTACTATAAAAACATGTAATAGTAATGGGATGAAAGGAAGAGAGTGAGAAAAAGAAAAGAAAAATGTGTACCTGTGGTGAGAGAGAGATACGAAGAAGAGTTTGGAATGAAGAGGACTCGCTCGAAGCACACTGTCTCACGTCCAACGACTCTCTATTTGTAGACGCCAACGGCGCGCGTGACCGGCTACCGAAAACTGTGATCGTCGAAACTGTGTAGCCGTTAGATTTGACGGCTAAATGAAGGGACACGATTTGTCAAGGTTGGTGAGAGAGAAATAATTGCGTAAGCATAATTTTGCGGTGACATGTTACCGGATGGTTACGGTCGGTCTCACCAACCTACTTTCAAAATTTTAATTTCCACACATGTTGCGCGGTAAAGAAAATAAAAAATTATTTAAATATTTAGAGTTCAATAAATATAAAGACAAAAATATTTATTGTAGATGTAAAATGAATAATTAAAATTAATTTTGGTGAGACTTTTATTAGAGTTAATAAATTTACTACATATATATCGGATAACATTGTTTTAAAGCATATATTCATGTTAGAAACATAAACTTATTTAAAGTTTGGTTTTAAAATTTTAGTAATATATAGTGTTAAATTAAATATTTCTTTTACACCAAAAAATATAAATATTTCTTAATTAATTTTTTTTATTTAAGACTTGAATATTACTAGAGTGAAGTAAATATTCATTCCTTCACATGCGGAAATAGAACTCTTACCAACCTTCCTAAAAGACGTTACCATTCACCAATTCTTGGCTTTGTGGGTTAATTAAAAATTGTGATGCTTATTAGTAATATTAATACTCCCTTTTTTTATCATTTATTTGTACTCCCTTTTATAAAATCAAACAAGTGTCAGCCTTAAGTTTTTTATACAGTTAAAAAGAAAAACAATCATAAACTTATAAAATTATTCTTTTTGTGTTTACTAAAACATAACAACTTTCTAAAAGATATATATTATTGAGCATGTAAAAAAATGTTATGTTTATTTTTAATTGTTGATTCTTTAGAATAGTTTTGTTTTTATTTACATGTCGTCTTCAAATTTAAAATAATATTAATAATATTTTGTCAATACTATTTTTTATCTTTACCTAAGTTTTAGTTGATTTATATATTTACAACTATACATTCATACATTGTGGAATAAAAAGTAATGCAGTAAAAAAAACTAAAAAATTATTAATTTTATGAAAAACATAAAATTTTATTATTTTTTGATTTGTGTAAAAATTATTTAAACAATAATAAATTAAAAGCAACAAAAGTACTCATTTTTCTTCTTCTTCTTTTTATTAGAAGCAAAATACTCATTCTGATTCATTATAATTATATAAGAAATAAATGAGTATATTTTATGTCCTAATTATAATAAATAAATATTTATTGAAAGTTTATTAATTGTTGTTTTTTACCTTTATGCAAATAGATGCATTTAGTGATCTATTAACAATACGAATTACACTTATTGGTTAAAAAAAAGCCATTTCTTAAATCAGGTGTAGTATCATTTAATGCAACTATTATTTAAAATAATCAATTCAAAGAGTATTCTTAGAATAAAATATAATTGTATGAAATTATTAATAAAAATTAATTATTTTAATTATTTTTTTATTAATTTTGATAAATTAGTTATTTGTTACTTGTATAAAAGACTATAGGAGTAATAATTAATATTATATTAAAAAATCAATGTGACACTGCTCCTGGTCTATAATTTTTTATGTTTGAGATTTTTTCTTTTATTCCAAACTTTTTTTATGTTTTATACTCCTTTCAATTTTGAATATAAGTAACAAAAAAAATTATGTTAATTAAGAAAGAAATTTAATATCATTTAATTGTACAAATCTCATTTAAAAAATAACTTGATTTTCTAAACTATTCTTTCCTGAAACATGATGCTAGTAAGAATAAAAATGACATTAAATAAAGTAAATTTTGTAACACTGTAACTTGTGATAGTGTTACATTACCCCTAGTTGTTTTATGTTGTTAAGTTGAATTGTCACTGTCAAGAGACTCAGGGGTTTAAGGGTCCCTTAAGAGCTTAAGTGGTGTAAAGAGGGGGTTCTCTAGGCATAGATCTAATTTGACTTGGAGGGAAGAATATATAAGAACCTCATAAACTGTTTTCCTTAGCTTTCTAAAGAGCGGATTATGGAGAAAAGGTCTCTGATTCATGAGCTTTTTTTCTCTCAATCTTCTTCTCTTCTTTTTGTCAATCCTTTTCTTAAGTTGTGTTGTTGTGATTCAAGTGGTGGAAAACTTGAATCCAGTAGTTTATTTAGTGTGGAGCCCTAATCATTCTTCTTTTCTATCTTTGATCCAAGCTACCTCAAGGTAAGGGAAGCTAGATTTCTATTTTCCTTGTTATATGATGGAGTTGTTGGCTGATGTTGGTATTAAACATTGTTTGGATTTTCAATTTCCATGGCTAAGTTGATTGAATTTGGTGAAGAAATGTGTGAGGGTTGGGGTTGAAGTGCATGTGGAAGAATATGATGATTTGATTTGTGTTGAGGTTGCATGTTGTTGTTTGTGCAGGAAATGAGTTGTTTGTGCAAGAAATAAGTTATTTGTGTTGAGTAGAGACATTATTCCTGGTTGCATGTCCAGATCTCAATCTAACCACATTGAGTTTCACTATCTTAAACAATATACAAATATTCTTTTAATAAGTCATTTCTTATTCAAATCTAAGTATTCTTTGAATTATCTCTTTATGCAATTTACCTAAGTATTCTTTTCACACAAAGTGTCTTTAAGTTTCAACATTGAATATTCTTTTACACACAAACCACTTCAAGCTCAAACAACAAGTATTCTTTTACAAACAAGTTTCTCTAGGCTCAAACAACAAATATTCTTTTACGGTCAAGACTTTCTAGGCTCAAATCCAATAACTTAGAGTTACTAAGGTTTATAAAGTTGTTTCCTCTGTTTATCAAGACGTGATACAACAATTTAAGTACAAAGAGCTTTATAGAAAGATTTTGAATATGTTTATTATAAAATGTTTTCCGGAAAAAGTTATTATTCTTTTTGATCATGAAGCTTCTTATATAGTAGTCAGAATGAAGATGACCATTGCAAAACCTTGAGGATTCCTCACAAGTTTGTTTAGTTTGTTTTCATTATGGGTTTCTTGAGGTGAGAAATAATTGTTGATACATTAAATGTGTTTCACCAAATTGTCCCTTCTTATTCAATCAAGGAAGCTACTTATCATCTTTAGGATACCAAACATACTATATGTAACATGTGGCAACAAGAAGCAGGTTCTGCATTAAATTTTATTGACTTTCTCCATGATTTTAGGGATCCATTTGTCCTTGGTTATGGTGAAAAATATGGCTTCATTCACTTTAATATATTTATGAGTTTCAAAAATCTTTCTTAGTTTAATTTGTTAAAGAATCACTCAAACATGTAATAAGTAGTCGTTAATCATTATAAAATGATAGACATTTAAAACTTTATAAGACAAATTGTATGTTTCGTCTGATAACACATCATCTTACTTACAAATTGCGTCTTATGTTTTGTCTAATGAGCATTTAAAAAAATCTCTTAAAAAAATATTTTTTTTGTTATCATTAAAATTTGAGAGTTTGAGAAATATAAGATTGTCTTTTGACTTAACAGGATGATCTTTCTTACTCCCTTTGATTTCTGTAAGCAAATAAAAACGATGTTACACATATTAAAGAAATCAATTATGTGTACTAATTTTAGTAATCTCATAATATTCTTCCTAAATTTCTTTGTTATAAATAATTAAAATTTATTTATATTTAAGAAAAAAAATGTGGATGTTTTTTTTACTACTAATAGAAAACATATGGAGTATTTTTTTTATAAATTAATACTAAAATAAAAGTGAAAATGGGTGTCATATTTTATTAAAATTTGAGTTTAAGTTGTTCAAATGATATAAATATATTTTTAAGATCTAAAATGATATAATTATAACTTAATTAAAAACATATTTTGTAATAATATTTTTAGAAAGGAGGTGAGTTTATGTTCATATAAACTTATAAGCTTAATATTTTATTGGTTAAATTATACTTTTGGTCATTTATCTTATTTATTAGATTCAGTTTAGTTCTTTTATTTTGGTTTATCTTTTATATTTGGATTAATTTGGTCCTTTTTAAAAAAATAATTTTTAATTTTGTAATTTAATTTGAAATCAATTTTAGATTGATTTGAGACGTAAAACTTGTAACAATAGATTCAATTATATAAAAATTATAAAATTCAATTGACGTTTAAATTCATAAGAGATATAACATAATAAAAGTCGTGTAAAAAATATGTCTAATAAACAACTAAAAAATAGTATGAAATTATAGTTTTTGAAATTTCAATTGGATTTTGGACTTATTTTTATATAATTTTCATCATGTCTGTAATACTTCTTTATTTGAACTTTAGTTGCATTCAATAATCTTCATATAAATGAATCTAATGAGATGAATTTCACGTCTTGAATCAGTCAAAAAATAATTCAAAATCATGACTCAAAATTGAAAATAATCATTATTTCAAAAAGACCAATTTAGTCCAAATTTAAGAGATAAAAGATCATAATTAACATTTTAAAAGATAAAAGAATAAAATAAATTTAACAAATAAAATAAACGAGAAAAAATATAATTTAGCCTATTTTATTATATAAGTTAACACATTTAATATTTTAAAAGATAAATTAATGTCAGATTTTAATATATTATAATAAGTTTGACATAATAATATTTATTTATTTATTTTGTTTAAATAGGTTGAAATTCAATAGACTTTTTAAATGGTTTAAAATCTAATTTTTAAATTAAATAAATTTTTATAAAAGTCTTTGCTTTTTTTCATTTCTAACTAAAAAAAACCTTCCTTTTTCAAATTATATAGATTAAAAGAATAAATTTTAAATTTTAAATGATAAAAAAAAATTATCTTTTACCAATACTTGAAAGACAAAAGGATATATTTAAGTTGTTTTTTTTTCTTTTTTTTTTTAACCTTTTTTGCATCAACCGTATGAATGTATACAAATATCTTTTTATCTTTTAAAATAGGTTAAATTATATTTTTAATTTTTCTATAATATCTTATCAACAATTTTAGTCTCTTAATTTTATAACTTTTAAAATTTTAACTCTATTAATAAATGTTTATTTGTTTACT